TCGTGCACATTCGTTTCGCAACCGGTTTCTGTGTTGCCACACAGGCTCTTTTCCTCTGAGGACTGAAGAGAAACTGACTTGCCTGAAGACTCCTCTTTCCAGCAGAGAGAATCTCACCTGTATTTTTCAAACTGCAGATCGGGAACCATTAGAGAATCCCGAAACAAATTTAATGACTTGCAATCAACATTTTAAAAATGCAATAAAGTAGAACGGAGCTGAGAAGAGAAGATAAAACACTACAGTGCCCCGTATGTAATAAGTATTATTTGGCGGAACTGTTATTTCAGTTATACAAGTTCAACAATATGAAGTGCACATTATGTCGTGATGTAAAATGCATTTCTTACCGTAGGCTTGCAACCAACATAATTTGAAAGCTACTGAAATGTTAAATTGAAGTTTGATTCTATTATCTCCAAAAATCTCGTTGTTGGGGGAGGTGACAAGCCTATCATTTATTTAGGGAACCGGAGAGAAGTGCTTTCAGTTACTCATTGCATAAACCCGGTGACTCCAAGAACCTATATGTCTCATAGGAAGTCTGCTCCATACGCTCTCCAGGAAAATGCCCCATAATTCAGCCAGCTTCCTCTTCTTCATTCCTTCCTCTGCCTTAGTGGAACCCTCAAGAGGAGGAGGCATCAGAACTGCCGAGGCAGATGGGAAGGTCAGAGCAGAGTCCACGTCCCTGCGATGACATCCACTGAGAAACATTTACTGCAACCTCTGCCTCCCAAGTTGGAAAAGGGCAGCCATTCCATAATAGGGCTGGAGCAAGCTGTTTGTGCAGGAAGGGCGGCAGAAACTTCAGCCACTGTTTGGACATCATTTTTCTTCCTGCTTCAGATGGGTTTTTATTGTGGTAAAATGTAAACGACACAAAATTTACCATTTTAACTGATTTTAATTGTGCAGCTCAGTGGCATTAAGCACATTTACATTGTTGTGCAACCATCACCACCATGCATCTCCAGAACTTTTTTATCATCTCAGACAGAAACTCTATGCCCATTAAACAACAACTCTCAGCTCGCCCCTCCCTCCACCCCGGCAACCACCATTCTACTTTCTGTTCCTACGAATTTGACTGCTCTAGGTACTTCATATAAGTGGAATTATAATATTCGTTCTTTTGAAACTGCTTATTTCACTTAGCATGTTTTCAGGGTTCATTCATGTTGTAGTATACGGCAGAATTCCATTCCCTTTTAAGCTGAATAGTATTGCATTGTATGTACACATTCAGATGTTTTTTAAATAAATTCTTGTGCTTCTCCCCTGGTGTTGACTATGTGGTGCTCATCTTGGACCAGCAGCAGAAGGAAGATGCTATGAAGCTATTATTGCCCATAAAAGACCTGGAGACAGTGGATCAAAAATCCCGCAGCCAAAACTCTCTGGTGGCTGACCTCTCTGCCTCTCTTTTGCTGACTCTGGAAGTTTTAAAAGGTTAGAACAATATGATTTTTTTTTCTTAGAATCCCGAACTTCAAAATCTTGTGTGCCTCTGGAGAGTTACTACAGGTAAGCAAGCTCACCGTGATGCTCAGAAGAAACAGCGCAAGTCTCTTTCTTTGTCATCTCATCCCAGGGGCAATGTCCAGGAAGTGCCTACTGAAGATAGCTCACTGAGACCTTAAAACGATCAAAATTACTTCTTAGAGTCCACCAAATAACACTAGCTTTTTGAATACCTACTAAGATGGGCAACACCAAGCTGAGTACTATGATGCATGCAAAGAGACATGACATGACCCTTCCCTTTGTTAAAGCCAGCCCCAATGAACGTATACAGGATGATACACAAGCATGGGCTTAGTTTTCCAACACATGGGGGTCAAGCAGTGGATGGCCCATCAAGGGAAATCTCTACATGTTAACTTTTAATATATGACAGTAGCACATTTCCTCTGCAAGTCACCCCTCATCTTTGTCCCTAGAGCAGAGATTAAGTCTCTTCTCACTTCTTCCTCATTGTGTAGTCTTTGTCAATCAATTTCTTTAAGAATTAAAATATTCCTTTGAAGATTTCCTTAATTTCCTTGCTTTAAACAGCGGGGAAACCAAGAGCCAGATGAGGCTCAAAGCAAAAAATAGTCACTGCACACAAAAATAAAAAAACCCCACTTGAAACTAATCAGTGCTTAAGAGGAAAGCAAGGTCAACACAAACATTTCCTCCATTTCCAACATGAGAGAAATTCCTCCCAGCTTTTTGGTCATGCTCATTTCTGTTCATTTTCTGGTTCATTTCATGTGACTTCCCCTGGGTCTTCTTTGGATTGTTTGAATCAGAAATGACAGCCAGTGAACCCACTTTCAGTCAAGCACTGCGTGAACCCTGCTGTTCTTAGAAATTCTGGAGTCGCTTTGGAAGAGGGAACGAAGCACATGCTTCACCAGGAGAACGAGGACCTCCTTCTTTTGAAAAGTTTTAGTGTCAGCTGAAAGATGCTGAAGGATACTTGGCTGGCCCAAATGTTCTGAGGAGTACACACCCTTGGTTAGGAAAGACCTCTCCTCACACAGGAGGACATTTTCTCCAATGCATCTGCCCTCCAGGCTTGAATCCCAGTCATATGTTTGGAAGCCTGTGTATCCCTTAGCTATATTCCAACCTAGACGGGCCCTGAGAAAGTGTTTCTTTAGCGTGTGTTCAGCACCCATCAAAGCTGCATAAAATCGAGTGCTTGTGAAAAGTGCAGATTTTGAAATTCCACTGAAGGCTTAACGACTCTGAAACTCAGAGGTGGGGCCCAGGACTGGACTTTCTTTAACATTCCCAGGGTGCCTTTCGTTTTCCCCTTAATCTGTCAGCCACTGAAAGGGCAGAAGGACTTCAGCCAGCTCGGACTTGGGAACAATATCGGGCAGCAGAGCATCCCTTCTAGCAAGGAAGAGTGATGGCCAGGAAGGGCCAGTGGAAGCAGTGACCAGTGGCCTTTGGCTATAAAAGAGCCTTGGGCAAATGCCAGAGCTGGAAGCAAAGTCAGCCTCCAAAAATCACAGCCTGATTATATCTCTGCCTAGAGATCCACTGGCTTTTAATTCTCAAACTTAATATGAAAACCAGATTTCTTCTCACACTCAACACCCCCTTCAATATCCATCCCCCTCCCAGCACCTCTTATCCAAACTCAACTTTACCCAAAGTGATCACATGGAAAGTTTAGTCCATAAGAGAAGGGATGTGGAGTTGCTGGGGAGCCCTTGGTTGCCATGGGAACCCCGCCTGCTGCAGCATCTGAATGGGTTTCTGTTTGTTGACATCCAGTTCTTTGGGGCAGGCCCTGGCATTGGCAGGGCCCTGGGCACCGCATCCTGTGTCTCCCGTTTCCGGCATCCGGCCCAGTGGCATCCACCCCAACAGGTCTCCTGGTAGCAGGCAGGGTGTCCGGGACTGAATGCTTCCTCCTGACCTCTTGTCCGGCTGCTGCCGCCCTCCCCAGCTGGGAAGGGAAGGGAAGCAGAGGGTGTTTCCCAACTCTTTGAAGAGAGAGCCCTTGTTTTCTTTTGCATTTTATTCTTTCTTCTCTTGTCATCCAAACATGAACCATTGGCCATTTGCCTGTCTCCCTGCTGGCCAGCTGTCCTTGCCATTCTCAGTTCTGAATTTCTGTTTATCTCATAGAGACTCCAGAGTTTGCTTCCACCTAGTTTGGTAGACTGGCTGAGCTACTGTCTCTAGTTTGTTCTCTAAAGTTTTGCCTCCAGCAACTAATTAGTAAGGCTGGAACGATGGCCATCCAAATGATCCAGGGAGACAATCAATGGCGTTAGCTTATTTGAAAGGTTTATTAGACCCCGGTTAGGAATGACCAAGGCCTCTAGTTGACTGGCTCATGCTGTACATGGAGTTTATGCCACCATGCTGAAGGCTACTATGCTCACATACCAGTTCCTCCAACTGCCAACTGTTTCCACATCTGTGGGCCTTTACCCCGGCTCCTTGTTCTGCTTGGAAAGTCCTTGCTACCCACTTTCACTTTGGCCTACCCAGTCCTGATGTACCAGCCCCAGCTTTCCTCCCCAACTATATGTCATGCATCTCCCATTTCACATCCACCTTGCACCAGACACAGAGGCCTTTCTGTAGTTACTAAAACAAACTTGGCCATTTTCTGCTTCAGGACCTTTGTACATCTAGACCCCCTGTCTAAAATGTTCTTACCTGGCTTCCCATGGTTAATTACTGCTTATCTTTCAGGTCCTACCTAACATCAGCCCCTCAGCGAGGCCTTTCTTCATCATTCTAATATGCCCCCTCCTTGTTCTCTATCTCAGCACCCTTCTCGTTTCTGCCTAGCATGTCACACTTTGTAGTATTTGTTCACTTTTTATTGTCTGACTTCTGACTAAACTGCGAGGGCCAATGAGTCAAGGACTTTTTATGCTTTCATCAGCTCTGAAGTTGGAATGCTTTATCACACTGCCTGGTGCAGGGTACTCCTTAAATATTTATTGAATGAATGAAAGAGTGGTTCATTTCTACCCATCCTTCCAAATTCCACCTGGAAGTCTGTGGCCTCCTGTCTAAATCTTTCCTGACTATCCCCCCCAGCCTCAGCTCCCAGGTCTGGGTGGGGTGTCTGCCCTGAGTGCTCCTCTGCACCCTGAGCCTACCTCTCTGTGCTGCCTTATGGTGCCTGCCAGTGTGTCCCTTTCTTCGAGCAAATGGTGAGCTTTGTAAGGGCAGGATTGTAACTCATTTCTGTATCCATAGGATCTAGAAAAATATCCAACACATAGAGATTGCCTGACTTGACCAATGTTGGTTCAATGACTGAATGAATAAGTAATTTCAGAGAGGTATAGAAAACTCAGGGTGGGGCTACTACAAAAAGAGACAGAGATGAGTTTCAGAAGAACAATCTTGTACAATTTGGTCCTCATGTTTCCTGGCCCTTCATTTTGTGTGATGATATTCCAGTAACTCAGGCAAGCAATGATTTGGTGAGTTTTTAAAGATAAATTAAACAAAGGAATCCCAACTCTTACCAGTGAAATGGTCCTAACATTACAGGATTTTATGATGTTCATTCCCAAATCTTGAAACACTGGATGGGGGTTGAATTTTGGATACCTCTTTGGGCCTCAGTTTCCTCATCTGTAATGAGAAGGATAGATAAGAACATCTCTAAACTGTCTTCCAGCTCTAACATTTTATGATTAAAAAAACAACCAAGGAAACTAACATTGACCTTTGAAGGCTTTGAAAAATTCGCAGTGTCTTGGGAGCTCACTGAGGGTGCTCTAAGGCTGAAGGTTCTCATTGGGAACCTCAGCTCTGGGCATCTCAGGTTTGTTTCTCTCCCTCAGAGCAGACAAGAGTCACCCTCTTTCCCACATCATCAAGTGGATCATGTCTCAAAAGATTGTGGAAAAGGAGCAGAATGTGGGACCAAGGGCATGAAGAGGAGAAGATAGAGTCTCAGGACATGATGTGGCCCCATCAGTCCAGCAAGAAGACATCCTGAGGAGGCCAGGGGGGAGTGGCTACTTCAGAGAGTCCTTGAGGTGAGTGGGGCTGGGAGGGAGGGAGAGGACCTGGAGGGTGGAGAAAATGTGGACTAAAGCTAAAATGAGTTGAGAGGAAGGAATATTGAGACAAAGAAAGAAAGAAAAGGGGAAGCATAACAGGCAGTGAGTAAAATGTAGCAGAAACATCATGAGCCCAGCAGTCAGACTTCATGTTTAGCTCAGGTTGACCACTAATGAGCTGTGTGAACCTGAGCAAATCTCTTGACATCTCTGGCCTCCATATCTGAATCTGTAAAAATGGAACTAGAGGCTGGCCCCGTGGCCAAGTGGTTAAGTTCGCGTGCTCCGCTGCAGGCGGCCCAGTGTTTCGTTGGTTCGAATCCTGGGCATGGACATGGCACTGCTCATCAAACCACGCTGAGGCAGTGTCCCACATGCCACAACTAGAAGGACCCACAATGAAGAATATACAACTATGTACCGGGGGGCTTTGGGGAGAAAAAGGAAAAAATAAAATCTTAAAAAAAAAATAAAGAAAATAAAAAATAAAAAAATAAAATAAATAAAAATGGAACTAATAACACCCTTCTCACAACATGGGGCTATTTTTCAGACTAATCTAGCTTAAGGACATGAAAGTGCTTGAAAAGAATTTTTTTTAATGAATAAAAGCAGAAATGATTAGGTCAAAAGGGTAAAGAGCAATTATGGAATAATACAGCAAAAAAAAAAAAAAAAAATGCTACCACATTAAAGAAATACTACCAGGAATTTATAACTTGCAAGGAAACGGATCTAAGAGGTCAGGGAAAGGATTTTTCCCCCCAAAGGCTTGGTCATATTTTTCCAATTGTTTAAAAGAGAAAAATTAATAAATGTTATCTTTATTTTACCCAAAGGTGACTTACAGGAACTGAAAGGGTTGGGCAGGGACAAGGGGTTGATGGATCAAAACAGTCCTTTGACGGAGCTACATCCCAGGTAATTATAGTCCTGGAAAGGCTCCCCAAACGCAGAGTCCTGGGCTGAGCTGCCCCTCAGTCATTCACATTCCCAGCCAGGGCAACATAAAAACCAACCAACCAACAGAACCCGAATCCAGAGCTTCAGAGGGCAGCTAGGGGGTTGCGGCTCAAGTAATGGATTTTGAAAGAGGTGGAATAAGCTCATCACCAGATAAGAACAGAAATTTAAAGACAAGACAGTGAGAAATAAGAGCAGATAGGTGCTCTTATGTGTTCTCATTTTAGTTAAGGTTCAAATCCAAATCCTTCCACAGGTAAATGGGTCAGACTTATAAAGCTGGCCAAGTGCATCTTCAGAGCCCCTTCCTCCACAGGGTGCAACTTCCATGCCTGGCCCTTGTCTAGTCTAGTATCCTGCCACCTAGGATGTCCCACTTTGCTCCAAGGCCCTGTGCTAGGTCTGCCTGACTTTCCTTTCTGCTACAGCATCTCCATCAGTCTCCATGTTGTTGGCAGGCCCCTTGAACTTCTACTGTCCAGCCCCCCATCTCTTTGGATTGAGTCTTGCTAAGTCATCCAAGCCAAGCATTAGCCAAGCCTTGTTTATATGCAAACTTGTTTATATGGCGGAGAGCCAGAAGCAGCCAGCCCTTCAGGGACAGTTCTTAAGATTTCTCTCTGGGGTCTAAACTTTTTCTGTAATGAACCAGACAGCAAATATTTAGGCTTCACAGGCCATATGGTTTCTGTTGCAACTACTCAACTCTGCTGTTTACAAAAACAGCCTTATACAATATGTAACTGAATGGGCATGGCTATGTTTTAACAAAACTTTATTTGTGGATCTGAAACTTAAATTTCCATATAATTTTCAAGTATCATGAAATGTTATTCTTCTTTTGATTTTTTCCAATAATGTAACATGTAAAAACCATTGTCAGCTAGTGGGCCATACAAAAACAGGCAACGTGTTAGATTCAGCCCATGGGCATGGCTTTTAGAAGTCTGCTCCATAGCTGCATGGCCACAGATGGCTTTTGAGTACTCGAGATGTGGCCAGTCTGAATTGAGATGTGCTGAAGTATAAAATACACCCGGATTTCCACAACTTAGTACACAAAAGAATGTAAAATATCTCACTAATTTTGTACTGATTACATGTTGAAATGATAGTATTTCAGATACATTGGGTTGAATCAAATTTATTCTTAATTTTACCTGTTCCTTTTCACTTTTTGAAACATGGCTACTAGAATATCTACATTTCCATGTGTGGCTCGCATTATGCCTGTTGGACAGCGATGCTCTAGAGACCGTGCTTGGGCCTTGACTGAATGAACTCATGGGCTAAGAGAGCACCGTGGAGAAAATCAGGTCCAGCTCTCTCATTTTACGAATGATGGTCTCAAAGGTGAAGTGCTTCCCCAAAATCTCCGAGCTGGTTGGACAAGACCCCTGGTCTTCTTGCACAATCAGCCTGTGCATTTCTGTTCCCCGTTCTGACCCAGGCAAAGGGTGCTGGTGTTGAGCAGGGGGCAGGCATTGACCCCACAACTCACGGAAAGTAAGCACCTTTCTATTCTAACAGCCCCGGCTGTTGGGGTAACTCCCTCACCACCTTTCTCCTTTACCATTTCCAACTTTTTCTCAAAGTCTGATCCCAGGACTGCTGATCAGAATCCTACAAGGGCATTTTTAAAAACACAGGTTATGGGTCTCACCCCCAGAGATGTTGAATTAGTGGGTATGAGGTGGGACCTGTGAGTCTGCATTTTGACGAGAAGCCTCTTAGGTGACTTGTGCACAATAACCTCTGAGTTCTGCTGCTCCTGGAGTGACTCTGGAATCCTGGTCTCTATGACACAGGAGAATTTCTTTTATAGGGTAGGAAAACAGAATAGAAATTAAGATGGGTTGAAAGTCCTTATTTGCAAGCACCATAATTTCCTCAAAAGAAAGTATTCACATAGGTACCTTGACTGCAGCAGGAACTATTAGATAATCGTGATTTCTTTTTCTTCTTTGCACAACCTCAGGTCTCCCTAAAAAGAACATTTATTGATCAGAAAGGCAGCTCTTAGTCTTTGAATTGCTTGCAGATTGTGCCATTCAGTATTCTGTACAGCATCAGATGCATGTGGGGGCACAATATATTTTGAAAAATGTTAATCAAAATATTCACAGTGTAAGTGCAGGGAATGAAGGTTTAGCCAGCACTCACCAGAGCTGTTGCCATGACTGACAGTTCCACATTCCAGCATGAGTCAGAAATTCAGGCCAACACACTGCAGACTTTAAATATTGGGAGAGATGAATTAGGATGCTCAATTTCTTTTGCCACAAAAATATCTTTAACTTTGGGATTTTGATGGTAGTAATGGCACAAGAGACAAATGAGAAACGCTCTGGAAGATATATAATTTGAAAGAGTGCCCAGTGCAATCTTCATTTTGTGTGTAAGGTAGACTGTTTTCAGATTAAAGTTAAGCAAAGTGATGCATTCATGCCTTGAACCAATATGTGAGTATCTAAGGAAATAGCTACAGACTCTGCCCTCAAGTAGCTACAATCTAGGAGAAATATGAGATATTTAGTGTAAATAAAATCCAATAGACAAAGTAAAGAGTACCACACGAAGGATCTAAGGGTATATAGTTCTGTAGTTATTCCACACTAGAGGGAATCACTTCCATCCGAGGGGCATCAAACAAGGCTTCGAGGAGGCAGTAATCTTTGAGCCAGTCATGGAGTGCACATTTGGGCTATGAGGAGATGAAGAAGAGGTGGGGAAAAAGGAAGGGCATTTCAATTTTAAGTGTGGTGGGAAACAGAAGGCAGTCAGGGAACAGCCTAGAACTGTTGGTTCTCTTGGAGCACCGGATCTGGAAGGGAGGTGGGAGATGGCTGCCTTCCAAAAACATTGAAAACATGACTTTTTGGCCTGGAAAAATGAGGTCTTACAGCATGATATAATAAATCAAAAGAAAATCAAGAGTTTCTATGAGGGGAAATTGGAATTTACAAATCTTGGAGTATTAGAATTAAGGACTGCTCTTTAAAGATTAAAGACAGAAGCATCAGTTCAAATGAGAGAAAGCACACAGTACACGCTGACCCGATTAAAGCCATTTACTCGAGATGTTGTGCAAGCAGAAGATTTAGATTCAAGAGGAATTTAATTAACTTATAAACAACAAGACTGTCACGGTTGTTGAAAGAACTGAACAATGTGCTGGGGAGTTCAACTCTGATCTTATGTGGTTAACCTTGCAAAGAGTATGATTCTCCCTAAAAAACCTCGGCCCCAGAGCATAACTGGTTAAAAGTTTGGATTTGGGCCTCAGTCAGATCTGGGGTCAAGTCCTTTTATGTAGCCTGCAAGATATGTGACCTTGGGCAAATTATGCTGTTTCTCCAAGTTCCAGATTGTAAAATGGTGATAATGACGTCCATCCTACAGGATTGTTATGAGAACAGCCATATAAATAAGAAAATGCTTAAGAAGTGCTTAACAGCATGCCAGTACTGTATAGTAGATGTGGGCTGCTACAGTTATTGCCTGAGTAGAATGGACCATGGGCTCAATTTGGGGAGACGTTTCCTATGGTCTGAATTTAGGGTTCCAAAGGAGTTAGTAAATATGTCCAAGCTTGTCTTCATAAGGGGTCTAGTAGGTATGTGTATTGTATGTAATGTGCTCAGCAACACACCCAAGGGTTGCCACTGTGTGTTCTTATAGTGTTAGTGGCCTGGATCACATGCGAATTTGATTTTAGGTATCTAAAATCTTCAACCATTGAGCTCAAAATCCACACAAGACTGATCCTGCCTTGTGCCCGGGGCTGGGCTGAGACTAAGGTTTTAGAGAGCGAGAGCTCTCTCATTAGCTGTGGGAGTGTCAGCACCAGGCTCAAAAAGTATGGCCTGAGTGAGTGTGATATTGAGCCTGGATTGAAATAACAGGGAGCCTTGACTGGCCTGGGAGAAAAGAGAAAGTTGAAATTGCTTGTGGGGGGAAAACATCAAAGCACACAGTGCTCAGGAGTCAAGGAAAACCAGGAGAGTCATGGGTCCATAGGACACATGGCAAAAATTGGAGGACACAATGATCCTATGGCCAAGCTGAATGCAAAGCTGAATTGCATAACCAAAAATTGACTCAGAGCTGGTCTGTGAGGAACAGTCCTGAGTACCTCTAAAGAAACATGGTAGACAGCAACAAAAGTCAACCACTATGACTCAGTAGGGCTGGAGCCAGTCTTCCTTCCCCTTCTAAGAGCTCTTCTGTCGCAAGTTAGATGATGTCCAAGGAAATCTGTTGTAATGGTACAATGAGACTGTCCATGGCAACGTGAAGTTGGGGCCCCTCAGGACTCTCCTGGGGCCCCTGTGAGCTCATTTCTCAGAACAGCATCCATCCTCCCTGGATGAGTTTCCCCACAAGGACCTCTGTCGCCAGTCCTTGGGGACCACCTCCAAAGAGACCCTTCCCTCCCTAGTGCTCCCATCAAAGACAGCTCCCTTCTCCCACCTTCCTCTAAAACCTAACCCAGCTCTCCTCAGAGGCTTCCTCCCCAAGCCTCCCCTGAGTTTACATATCTCAATTCTTTTGAAAAGAAACACCAGCACTCAGGAACAGTCAAGACTTAAAAGAAATCAGATAGAGTCAGAGAGAAGTGTGACCTTGGGTAGTGACAATCATAATCACAACTTTCAGTGTTCCTCAAGCATTAGAGCCCAGGTCTCTGCAGCCCCTTACCGAGGCCATGGCCCCAGAGAGGGTGGAAGGGCTGATGACAGGCTTTAGCGTCCCTCCTGGCAACCTGAGAGTGCATGGGAAGAGAGAGAAGCATTTTACACTTTTGTATTTCTTTGCCGCATCCCTTATTTTCCTTCTACTCCTGCCTCTTGTGCCTGCCCACCTCCCTACACCCAGCCCTCTGCCTGTAAAACTTTTCCCAATAACAAGAGAACTTCCAGAATGAAGTAGGAATAGGAAAGGAGTGAAATGTAATAGGAAGGTCTTCTCGGAGCTGAGATGTCCTAGGGGTACGATGAAATATTTGGGGTTAGTAGAAATTTTTTTTCTTTTAAATACTTTTGAACATTGGCACTAAAAATGAAACCCAAACTCATCGCTTCTTCTTAACTTTCCTCCTGCCCCTTTGTGCCAAACATTCGATAACAGGCATAAGGCATACTTTGTTTTACTGCACTTCACTTTATTGTGCTTCAGAGATATTGCGTTTTTTACATATTGAAGGTTTGTGGCAACCCTGTGTCGAGCAATTCCATTGGCACCATTTTGCCAATAGCATTTGCTCACTTCATGTCTCTGTGTCACATCTTGGTGCCTCTCACAATAGTGCAAACTTTTTCATTATTATTATATTTGTTCCGGTGCTCTGTGATCAGTGATCTTTGATGTTACTGTTGTAATTGTTTTGAGGCGCCACAAACCGCACCCACGTAAGATGGTGAATTTGATTGATAAATGTTTGTCTTCTGACTACTCCATCAACTGGCTGTTCCCCCATGTCTCTCCCTCTCCCTGGGCCTCCCTATTCCCTAAGACATAACACTATTGAAATTAGACCAATTAATAAGCATCCAATGGCCTCTAAGTGCTCAAGTAAAAGGAAGAGTCGCACGTCTCTCAATTTAAATCAAAAGCTAGAAATGATTAAGCTTAGTGAGGAAGGCGTGTTGAAAGCTCAGGTGGGTCAAAAGCTAGGCCTCATGCACCGGACAGTCAGTCAAGTTATGAATGCAAAGGAAACGTTCTTAAAGGAAATTAAAAGTGCTACTCCAGTGAACACATGAATGATAAGAGAGCAAAACAGCCTTATTTGCTGATATGGAGAAAATTTTAGTGTTCTGGACAGAAGATCAAACCAGCCACAACATTCCCTTAAGCCAAAGCCTAATCCAGAGCAAGGCGCTAACTCTCTTCAATTCTCTGAAGGCTGAGAGAGGGGAGGAAGCTGCAGAAGAAAAGTCTGAAGCTGGCAGAGGTTGATTCATGACGTTTAAGGAAGGAAGCCGTCTCCATAACATAAAAGTACAAGGTGAAGCAGCAAGTGCTCATGTAGAAGCTGCACAAGATATCCAGAAGATCTAGCTAAGATAATTAATGAACAGGTTACACTAAACAACAGATTTTCAATGGAGACAAAACAGTCTTCTCTTTGAAGAAGGTGCTGTCTAGGACTTTCATAGTTAGAGAGGAGAAGTCAATGCCTGGCTTCAAAGCTTCAAAGCACAGGCCGACTTTCTTGTTAGGGGCTAACGCAGCTGGTGACTTGAAGTGAAGTCAGTGCCCATTTACCATTCTGAAAATGCTAGGGCCCTTAAGAATTGTGCTAAATCTACTCTGCCTGTGCTGTGTAAATGGAACAACAAAGCCTGGTGATAGCACATCTATTTACAACACTGTCTTACTGAATATTTTAAACCCGCTGTTGAGGTCTACTGCTCAGAAAAAAAAAGATTCCTTTCAAGATATTACTGCTCCTTGACAATGTATGTACTTAGTCACCCAAGAGCTCTGAGGGAGATGTACAATGAGATTAATGCTCTTTTCATGCCTCTTTTCACAGCCTTCATCAGTCCATGGATCAAGGAGTAATTTTGACTTTCTAGTCTTATTATCTGAGAAATACATTTCATAAGGCTATAGCTGCCATAGGTAGTGATACCTCTGTTGGATCTGGGCAAGGTAAATTGAAAACCTTCTGGAAAGGATTTACTATTCTTGAGATGGAATCTACTCCTGGTGAAGATTGTTGAAATGAAAACAAAGGACTTAGAATATGACATAAACTTAGTTGATAAAGCAGTGACAAGGTTTGAGAGGATTGACTCCAATTTTGACAGAAGTTCTACTGTGAGTAAAATGCTATCAAACAGCATTGCACGCTACAGAGAAATCATTGGTGAAAGGAAGAGTCAACTGATGTGGTAAATTTCATTGCTGTCTTATTTTAAGAAATTGCCACAGTCACCCCAGCCTTCAGAAACCACCACCCTGATCAGTCAGCAGCCATCAACATCGAGGTAAGACCTTCCACCAACAAAAAGATTACAACCCGCCGAAGGCTCAGATAACGGGTTAGCAATTTTTAGAAAGAAAGTATGTTTTTAACTAAGGTATGTTCATTTTTCTGAGACATAATGCTATTGCACACTTAACAGACTACAGTATAGTGTAAACATCACTTTTATATGCACTAGGAAACCAAAAGATTTGTGTGACCCACTTTATTGCCATATTTGCTTTATTGTGGTGGTTTGGAACCCAACCCGCAATATCTCCAAGGTATGCCTGTAACTAATACTCTTTGAGCACTTACTATGTGCTAGGCACTATTCTAGATTCTAGTCAGATAGAGATAAATCAGAGAAAGTTCTTGCCCCTGAGGAGCTCATAATCGAAGAAACTTCCAACTATATTTATCATTTATTCACACGTGTCTTAGAGACTTACTCAGTTTTTCCCAAACATGGTAGATAGGCCAACAAGAGATGATTTTGCCGGGACACAAAAGGAGGCAGGAAAGGTGGTGGCTACAGTGGAACTGTAGGTTTTACCAGCAATGGGAGGAGGGGGCAGAAGGCAGGAAGCAATTCCAGGCAAAGGAGGGGGCACTGTGGTTTCTCTTCAGGCTTTGGGGCCATTGGTTACCCCTGCACATATTGTTACACACACCCATGCCCAAGGCCTCTTCGCTCACCATCTGGGTTTCCAAGTAGGACTAGGTCAGAAGGAGTCTACGGGGGCAGAACATCCCGCCCTGCTGTGCTGCTCTGAGGTCCAGGCTCATGGGAATGACTAAGGCAGAGCTGCAGTCTCAGATTATCCCGTAGCTCCCACTGAGGCAGGGAAGCACGGAGACAGAGAGCAGGCCCCGGGCGCTGAGGCACTGACCTGAATTCCAGTCTTGAACCCATCATTCATGGTGTAACCTTAAGTCACTTGACCTCTCTGAGCCTCAGTTTTCTCGGCTGTAAAATAGAGACAGAGTAGCTAAATCTTTGGGTTATCATGAGAATGAAATAATTGATTCATGCATCGCACATAGTTAATCTTCAGCGAGTGATGGCTGGCATCAGATAGTACATCAGGGACCCAGAAATTCAACTAAACGGACCCAAGCATTCAACTAATTTCAAATATCAGAAAATATTTTCATTATCTGAATCAGATGGTTATGCCCTCATCTGAATAACTAGCTCCTTGTTTGGAATATTATCTAGGGATCTTCAGAAAATGAAATAAAATATCTTTGTAAGGATTTTTCTAGACTGGAATTCAGCAGGGAGTGGATGAGGAGCCCATTTTCTATCACATTACCAAACATTACCAGGTAACTCGATATATTGAAGACTAGATTTTGGAGATTGCCTCAGAGGCCTTATTCAAGAAGAAGTTTGTTGGGCAAAAGTCACTTTGATCATTTTGCTTAGGAATGGACTCTCAGTAACCAATCTTAGCAGGGAAAATAGTCTAATAATTTTTTCAGTCTTTCCAACACTATACTCTAGCGAGCAGGAACTCTAAATCCATGAACGCTGCGAATGCTAATACTATGACTACGAATTATTATGATAGCTAACATTCATTGAGAGCTTGCTAAGTGCCGGGCCTGGCCCTGTCGTAAGTGTTTTACACGTGTTACTCATGCAGCCGTCAGAAACAACTCTGAGATGGGTGCTACTATTAGCCGTATGTGACAAACAAGGAACCAAGCACAGAGACGTGGAGAAACTCACCCTGGGTCTCCCAGCTCCTTAGTGGGGGCTGGGACTCCAATCCAAGCAGCCTGGCCACTGCGCCTGTGTAACTGCCTCCAATAGATGGAGTGCCTCATCGTCCTCACAAACTTAGCACATTGAGCCGAATATTCCTTTCTTAGGGAAACATTATAAACCGTTTCATTTTTCTCATTGAGGAGCTTGTTTTCAGAAATTGATTACATTTATGGCTACACGCAAGGTATTAAAAATTAAGAACATTGTTTTCTTGGTTTCATGCTGTCATTTTATTTTTGTGTGTGTGAGGAAGATTGGCCCTGAGCTAACATCTGTTACCAATCTCCGTCTTTTTGGCTGAAGAAAATTGTCGCTGAGCTAACATCTGTGCCAATTTTCCTCTATTTTATGTGGGATGCTGCCACAGCGGGGCTTGACCAGCAGTGCTAGGTCCGCGCATGGGATCCGGGCCTGTGAACCCTGGGCGGCGGAAGCAGAGTGCATGAACTTAACCACTATGCAACCAGGCTGGCCCCCGTCATTATTTTTATGCTTACTTTTTATTTACAGAAGTCATACTGATTTTGCACCTAAAGTGAAACTATACAGTTTTCTCCTGGAGTAAACTGGTTTAAGTGAAAAAATCTGCTTCCAGGAGGGAGGTGAAGCATTCAATAGCATCTCCGGGGATGTGTGGGCATGGTCAAAACGAGGCTGCTGGACTTGGGGCTTGCTGAACACCAACCAAGCCAAGCGGCCATCTCTGGTCAGTGGGCCAGTGTTTGCCTGGACAAGTCTAAGGAGCCAAGGACAGCAGGCTGAGACTAGTGGACCAGAGGCAAGCTGGCCGCCAGCTGGCCTCGTGATCCTTGGGGAGGCTCATCTCACATCCTTCATTCCTAGTTACCTTGGTACCAGCTCCTGTGGAAAATATGATGTGGCCAGAAAGGGCTCCAACTCCTTCTAGAGATAAACATGCTTGTGCTTTAATTATCAACTGTTTCAAGTTTTTATTGAAAATATTTATTTTTATACTGCTCTAAAACAGTGAACATTTTTCAGCTATCGCCCCACCGCTGATTTCTTATCTAATGCTGCCAAGAACAAGAAAGAAGAGAACAAAGCCGAAGAAAGGAGCAGGCTCAATAAACTTTAAATTCTTCTTTTAAGCATTTAAATCCTGCTCCTATCATGGACATTGCCACTTTTCTAATTTTTTTAAAGTGCATTTTGTAAGAAAACGAGAAAAGGAGCGATAGTGTGGCTGGGGAAACCAGGGTGTTTATTGCCTAGAGGAACCAGAAGTTCATATGGGCCTGGCTGCACTAAGAAATGACAGCTCAGCACAGAGAAGGGGAAAAAAACTCCAACAGCAGCAGCAAAGCAAGAACAAAACGTTGTAAGAGAACTGGCCAGAACTGGTCTGCACGAATTCCCCGCCGCTGTCCTGCCTTCTCTGCTCTCCCGAGCGCGAGCATAGCAGCAGCCAGCAAGCCAAGCAGCAGAATCTTGCCTCCCTGTAGCAAACCTGCCTGCACCTCGGGCTTCCTCCCACCGAGCTGTGCATGCTCCCTGGGCTCTGCGCCCCGCACCCTCTGCAGACAGACCACGTGGAGGGAGGGGGAGGGCTGGAGCAAGAGAAAGACAACTCAGCTGGCTGGCCCCTGCCCCTGAAGAAAACAAGCAGAGGCAGGAGGAAAACATACTGTTCTTTGCAATCTGATCACCTCCGTGCAAGCCTCTGGGTTACACACCCGGGGACGCTGGGGCCCAGAGGCGTAGATTAGCCCAGGCAGGAAAACCGAGCGTGGTGACTGGTCCTGCGCAGATTAGAAACACATTGTTGGAGAAGGGGGGTCGGGGGCGAGACTGTGCACGGCAGCATGGCTGGAGTCTGGGTGTGGGGCCCCGGCGAGCGGGCCGGGCGCGGAGGGGGCAGAAGAAGGAGTGCGGATAATGCTCTGTTTGTGAGCTGAGATTCCAGCTCCTGGGGTGGCCCCTGGCAGCTGCCTAGGCCTCACAGGGAGAAATCGGGAACAACAAAGGCGCTGGGACAAAAGCGGCTCTGGCCAGAGGGGCTGCGGGCTCTGTGGGGCCAACAGCACTTCAGTTCTGAGGGGCACGGCTCCACCCTGGTATGAGGCTGGAGGCGGACTGTCAAATGGAGCTTACCGAGGAAAGGGAACTCAAGTTTTCTGGGTATTTCCTGAGTGCAGGGCACTATGCTAAGGCTCTTTTTTACATATTTCATCAAGTTTGGCATCACAGTGGCATGGAATTCTCAATGAATTGGAAAACGGGAAGCAAACAGCTTTTTTTTTTTTTTTTTGCAGGTTACTGACACCGAGTTGTCCCAAACCACATCAGTGCCTGTTGAAATGTTAACTATCCGCCAGCTGGGAATTTTGTCACTGGGAAACCGGTATAGCAAGCGCCCGTTAGCTTCCCGCCCAGGCAAGGACATTGAGGGGTGTGAAGACCAAAGTATGTCTTCCTGTCTTTGCTTCTGAGCTGACACTCGAGAAACTGTGAGACCCACAGCCCCTCAAATCCCCCTTCTTCTGCCGGCTCCTCATACCTGCTGAGCAATCATGAAAATTCTCCCGCAGCCTGTACTCTAGCGCCCCCTGCTGGGAATGACTGCTAACTCGTGGCTGATTTGGCTGGGAATCTGGCTGATAGCAGCTAGGTTAACGTCGCCTCGCCCAGCTTTATGAGGCCCACCTGGCCTTTCGCTCGGCCAACCTGTGAATCCCAGGCTGCCGAAATGGAGCAGGTGAACTTAACCACTACGCCGCTGGGCCAGCCTGGAATCTGTGCTTTTAAGACTCTGATGATAAGCACGTTTGGCAAGAACTGAACTAGACACCTGGTCCACAGGCCTCTGTGTTCCATAGTCTGGCCTCTCCAGGGGAGGAAGAGTCGGTTAGTTTAGCTCAAAACAGGGCTGGGAATGGAAGGCGACTGAACCCCGGAAGACGGAAGTCGGCAAGAAGCTATGAAGGCGCAGAAGCTATTTGAATTCTGGCCCGGGGAAGAGCATTGCAGTCTGAGCCCTCCCGGGTGGGGCTCTCCGTGGCCAGCTCACAGCTGCCGGCAGAAGACCCCTTCTCGTGATAAAATAAGCGAAGAGTAGGTGTATATTTGTCTTCTGAGTTCTCAGCAAGATCTGGATGGAGCTGATTCAGGTAAGTCTCTAGCAATTCAGCAAGATCAACTGTCGTGGGCAACAGGGACCCACACACTGAGAGACAAAGAGGCCTCCACAGTCTCATCGGCTAATCTCCTCTGAAATTCTGCTTGAGGCTCCCTTATTCACCTGCACTGTCCTTTCAGCCAAACCTTTTGTCTGAGGGTGAGGCAGCGCAAGGATAACATCGTGCAGATTCCTTGAGCTCAGGCAGATAAACAGCTAGGTCCAGGCCAGGCTGAAGGGTGACCTCACCCACCTTAGGTCAACAGGCTCCTGGTGAGCAGCAGCTGCATGCACAGAATTTCTCCAGGCTCTACCTCCTGACCTCAGCTATAAAGACTTCTCCTCTCTGTGCTGTTTTTCCTGGATCTCTTTGCCTAGGTCCTCTGTTTTGATGATGACTCTCTGGAATGTTCTCCCTGGATGTCATTCTGTTTTCCCCTTGAACCTCACCTCTCCCTTCCATGCACTGCATCCCACTGTGAGATTCCCAGAACCCCGGCACCATTGGCTTCTAAGACACAGCACCTGGCCTGTGTCCAGCCCCTAGGGCTCCTGCTTGTCCATAGCAGAGAGCAGGGGTTGGGTTCCACAGCCTGAACAGGAACTGGGTGTTTCTGCCCAAGACAGCACAGGATCTGAGAGCCAAGAGGGATAAGAACAAAGTAAAAGTCAGCTGGGAAAAGGCAGGGAAGGAAGGGACCCTGGGCTTTCAGTTGGCCCCCATGGCCAGCAGGCCTGAGGGCGTAGACTGCCTCGAAGGGCCAGAAACAAGGAAGGCCGAGGGTCCTCAGCCATGGTTGCATCTTCGAGACACCAGGAGAGCTTTTAAAGAAAAACACCAATTCTCAGACCGCGTCACAGAGCAATTAAACCAGAATCTCCAGGGATGGCCCTGACATGTGTTGGAGTGGGGGCGGTGTTTGCCTGTGTGTTTTCAACCTTCCCAGAAGATTCTGACATGTAGCCAGGGTTGAAAACCCCTGAGATGTTGACAGAATCAGACCCCTTTGTCTGGTCTTCAGTGTCTCTTGCCTCTGTCTTTCCCAGCAGCACGGCCAGGTCCTCATAGAGGCAGCTTGAAGGGGTAGAGAATTTGGATCTTGGCCTTATCATCTACTAGTTGTGATCTTGGGCAGGTCCTAAACTTTCTGAGGTATTTTGAGAATTAAAAGAGATGGGATATTTAAACACCCAAAACTGGCAGCTTTATGACATATGTCAATTACCTTCCTTGTCACCACACCACTGGGTCCCTTACAGACCTTCCCTGGGTGCTGAGACAATCCTAGAAGAGATGAGACATGCATCAGAGCCATTGCCCCACATGCTGTGGGAGCTGAGCTCCCATGTGGTCCTGAAGTCCGTAGCACTGTCAACTCTACTTCGGATCCAGTGTCCTAGGATCTGAATGCCCAGGTTGTCCCTAAATTGCTTCAATTTCTCCTTGCCTCCCGCTACTCCCACACGTTGTCCCTGTCCACTTGTTAGGGACTTTGACCTGAGTTAACTGTTGTTGAATTCTCCCTAGGTCACTTTCAGGGAGACCTAGTGTGCGTGTCTAGCCTGGTACTTGGCTTGACTCCTGTCATCATTCCTCCTTGGGACCAGGGCCTGGCCCTCACATCCCAGCTCCGGTTGGGTTTCCAGCCTGTGTAGGCACATCTTCCGGTATCAGCTTCTGGCTACCTGGTACCCACAGGCTCCTAGACTTTGACTTGCTCCTCCACCTACCCACCTGCTCCGGCACTGAGACAGAAATGGCCGTGCTACCCGTGAAGCTGCTCCTGGAGCACCCAGCTGCCCTTCTAGGACCAGTCTAGAACCAAGGTGGGTCATTCCTGTTGCCCTCTTTATTCACAAGGGATCAGGCAGCTGCTTGGTCCAGGCAGACCTCTCCCCTCCTCCGAGCTCTGGAATTCCTATTCTTAATTCCTGAACCACCTCACGCCACCACGCCATTTGTGCGTTGTAAATACTTGGTGACAAACTATGACTGTTGTGGAGTTTGGAGATAAAAGGAAAAGCAGTTGCATTACGGTGGAGGTGACTGCCTAGATGGGCCCTATAAAACTGATGTGGTACTCGACTTCTTACTGCTTTGTATGGAATGACAAGATACATTGAATGTGTTATAGGAAATATCTAGGAAGACACTAATCTTTTCCAAAATCCAAGTCAACTCTGAGTCTTCAACAATGCTTCCAGC